GCTGTGGGCTGGCGGGGCGCGGCAGCGGGCGGGATTTTTGGGGAGGCGCCCGGCGCGGCTCTGACCTGCCGGTGCGTCCCCCGGTCCCAGGGGACACGGCCTGGGCCTTAGCGCTGCCCTCGCCGCCGGCAGCGCCGTGTGGTGGGTGCTGACTGCTTTTGTCTCATCTGGTCAGGCACAGATGCGTATTTGTCTCGACTGAGGGAAGTGTCCCAAGCTGGCATGGAGCGCTGAAGCGTATTCCAGGCCCGGAGAAGGGCTTGTGTACTTCAGAACTGATAAGACTGTCATTAGGGAAACTTTGTGCCGTAAGGATTTTACAGTCTCGGTAGCGTCAGCGGATGCGCTCTCTGGAAATTGAAGGTGGTAATGAAACAAGAACAAACCCTCGTGATTTTTAGCGTACCGTTTGTTACTTGCACACTGTAGCAGCTAACTGGGTAGTACTCTTACAGCACTTCACACTGTGTAGTGCGCCTTATGTTGCTTAGGTGGATTAACTGCTTCTAGAGGTTTAAGGATACGAGTGATGGTTTTGGTACTTCTGTTCCATTTGTTTTGGTGTGGGGTATAGAGTATAATGGACACACAACACACACGTACAGGCATTAAATGTTTTAAGACGTGCTTCTGCATAAACTGAGAAACAGTCTCTATTTAAATACAAGCTATAATGGGAGAGGACTGCTTACTAATACATTCTGGAGAAACGAGTGGAGTGCAGAAAAGGATCCAGTTGACTGCCAGTACTAGATGCTGTTAGCATCTGATGCTGTTAGCATCTACTGCTGTATTGCTGAGGCTGTCTAATAGGAATATGTGGTTATTAATAATGCAAATCAGAGCAGATGAGAGTATTGAGGGAACATTGGTTTCCGTTGAGGAATGATCTTTCAGGCCTGATGTAATAATCATGTTCTCGTGACTCATTTTCTAATGCTGAGTAATAAATGCTGGTACAACTAATGATGGATGGCACTGTGGGCAGCATGAGAGATGCATTTGTTCAGTTGAGCAAGTAGATTCTTCGGCTTTGGACCTGGCTGCTGATGGTACCACTGATGTGTTGGAGCACTGCTGAAAATTGGTAATTGTCAACAGACAGTTTTTTCTGTGTGGTGTGAATGATACTATTTTCTGTTCAGAAAAGCAAAAACAAATTACTGTGGATGAGTGAAAGGAAAATCTTCCAGGGCTGCAGATGACATTGGGATAGAGTTCTCTGATTGTTGTTGGTGATAATATCATAATGCTGTCAATAGAGTTATATTCTTCTGAAGCAACTGTGTTGAATGAACAGAATGTTGCTTTTTAAGCAAGGCAGTTTAGTTTTTTTACAGTGTGCCATGTAAGCCTTTGTAAGCCTTTTCTTGTGTGTCTGAAAACTTCTCTAACTGTTACGTTCAACCCCTGATTCAGCTAATAAATTTGCGGGGGCAGCAGCCACTGCAGGTTTTGGCTTGGATAATATGTTGTCTTGCTCAGCAAGAATCGTTTTAACTTTTGTTTGACAACGTTTAAGTTGTTCACAAAGCATTTGCTTAGTTATAATGAACTTCCCTGTTAAGTTGATTGCTGATGATCTCCATGGGCAGTTGTACCCTTAAATTTTTTTGTCTGTAGGGCCTCAAGCCTAGGGGTAAGTGTATGGCATAGGGATATTGGAGGGGGGGCGAAAAGGAGAAGGCTGGTAACTAAATAATTACATACCCTTAAGGTCAGAGAAGAGGCATACTGTGCTTGATGCAGCACCTCTATGGCGCTGTGAACTTCAGTAGTTTATAATGGTTGTATTTGTGTCAGGGGCTTTGTTCTTGTGGTAGTTGCTGGGTGGCAAGCTGGACAAAACTACTTAAATCCTGTTGTGAGGATAAAAGCTTCAATGTAGCTTTGTGCGCAGACTAAATAATAATTATTAAACACAATGGTGAAGTTGATATAATGTAAGTTTGCAGTGAGCAAGAAGACTTTCCTGATAACCTAAAATTAAGATGGCTACTGTGGTCAGTTTTCTGGAGTAAGGACTTGTGTGCATGTGCGTGTTTCTTTCTCTAACTTGATCTTGTGTTTTAGCACGCTCCATATAAAAGCAGGCCTGGATTCTGCAGAGGTAGTAAGCTGTGACTAGCTGAAGATCTGGTAATGCCTATATATATTAACATTACAGAGAATGTGTTTCAGGGATTCTTAAACATCAAAAGGATACTTGTCATCAGATATTAAACCAGTTAGCTGGTAATAATTTACTTACGCATTTTATTTTACAAGTTATCGCCACTGAAAACTACTAACTACCTCCATTTAGAGACAAAAAAAAAAAAAAATAAAAAATGGACCATCTGTCCTGTAACTTGTCCGTTCTCTACTGTACCAGACTTGTGTTATCTCTCCTTTAAATAAGAGTGCGTTGAGAAGTCCCTGGCAGAATGTTGGTGTTATGTGCCTGTTATATTAGAAGTGATTTATAAAGGGTCTAAAAGAAGTGGCTTATAAAGGGTTTTTAAATGCACTGACACACTTGCACTCATTGTACAGTCATCCAGGTCACAGTATTTGCTTCCCTTAGGTAACAGATTTTATGTAGTAGAATTACTGTCTCTGTTTAAGATACTCTATTTATGCCATTTAAAATGCATATTAGGAGTTTCCCAGAGACCAACCCTTGTCTGACTGGGCAAATAATGTAAGAAAACCTTTGCTACTCTCTTTTGTTCCATTTAAGCTTCTCTCTAGAAGGCCTCAGGAGGTGAAGAAGGGCGTTTGACCAAGTGTTGATTTGACCTCGCTATTAACTGTTCAGAATCTTTCCAGAGATTGCCACAGACTGGCTCACTTAAGTACCGTACACGTTGGCTGTTCTAGGTACTGGCTTCCTGGGTTCACCGTGGTGACTGCTGCCTGGCATAGCAACTGAGTGTTGTTAGTTTTCCACTAAATAGACTTGGGTAAGATAATGAATAATGCTGGTCTTGAAATCAAGGCACAAGTAAAAGCTTTTAAAGATAAGAGGCTTAAGTTGAGCTTGTTTAGAAACATACCAAATGTTTACCTAGAGAAGTGGCAAGTACTCTTAGTGTGCTTTTCTGTAATACATCAACAAAAAGTATTATTCTGTCTTGAAGCCAAAGGATACTCAATTGATAAAATGAAGATTTAACTGTTAACTGGGGAAAAAAATGGACCTTTGCCAGCGCATGCAGTTGGAAACCCTTGTAACTGCTGTGTTCCGTTCTTCAATTGCGATTAGCTGCCGCTTAAAGAATTCAGATGTTCATAAGGACAGCTGGTGTGATGACCTGTAACAGTGTGAAATGTTCAGAATGTGACCTGTTTCTATCCATTAATATGTCATCTTTAGTGTATTTCTGGGTGAAGAAGTAGTAATTGAGCACCCCAGCACTTCTGCTGCTGTCAGGCCTTGTAGTTTACTACAGTAGACAGTGAAATGTCTTAAGGAAACAGCAGACCAAATTAGCTTAATTCAGCACGGTAATCTGTGAAAGTAAATCTTTAAAACTATAAACTAAGTTACCTGATTTAACCATGACTGCATTCCCTGATCTAAACTGGACTTTCTGAAATAAAGCTTTCTTGGATCTTGCTCTTTAAAGTGAG